CGACCAATAACCCTCTGTCTTTATGATTCTCCTCCRATATGAAATTAAAATGAACTGGAAATGTTTATGCTGCAAATGGTGTGCAACACATTAAACAGATAATGCCAGCGAAGGGTTTGCTTAGAATAGGGGTTCCCTCCTCCAGCAGAGTCCCTCTGTAACTTAATCCCCCCTTTTCCCAGGCAGTGGGAATTGCTGCTCCRCAGAAAGCCTCGGACACATCACAATATCTTCATTAAAGAGGAATTACTTCCATCTCGCCATCCCCAGGTGCCACTGAAAGCGGGGCTTTGTTTCATGTGGCCAGTTGCAATTCCTGTGTTTATAGCAGCGGATTCCTTGGCTTCAAGGGACATTTGGAGATAAATCTATTTTGGGTCCTGTTTGCTTCCCCCAGCCTTTTACCCACAGCGTGTTTATAGCTGCATATTAATTCCTTGGTCATGCCTTTGGAATTTTTCACTGCTTACAATAAAAAAAAAAGGAGGCCTCATCCTATTTAATCATCTCAACCCAACATGTTTTTTACTTGTTTGSACCAATTGATAAATGGCGCCAAATCAAATTCTTTTGGGTTGTTAATTTGGAGGGGCTCCATTCCCAACACCTGCACCTGCCCTGTGTTTTCCTTGCAAGGGGACACCTCTCCCCAGCTCCAGCAGCTCTGGAGGTGACTCCCTGATGTGAGTGCAAAGGGATCCAGGGGATGTGGAGAGCTGGGGGTGAGGAGGTGAGGAGGGCAGAGCTGTCACCTGGTCATTCGTGTCACATGTCCCTCTGTGTCCCACAGCTGGACATGGTGTCAGTGACTCAGAAACGGAAAGAGCTTGTCCTTTATTGGGGCATTTTTCCAACACAAACAACGGGATTTTCACCTCCTGTTGCTCCCTGGACACACCACCACAGGATGGCTTGGGTTGAACAGTAAGTCCATCCAATTTCACCCTCTGCCATGGGCAGGGACACCTCCCACTACCCCAGGTTGCTCCAAGCCCCRTCCARCYTGGCCTTGGACAYTTCCAGGGAWMCAGGGGCAGCCACAGCYTTCCTGGGCAGYCTGTGCCAGGGCCTCCCCACCYTCACCTCTGCTCAGAAACATTGATTCTGTTCCACGGTGCTTACTTGAGGACTAGAAATCCCATCAACTTTGCTTTAATATTTCAAAGTACTGGGAATCATTGCTAATTKTTCCTCCAGAGAAACTCCAGCCACTTAGACAGCACCTGCAGAACAAAAAAAATTAGATTTATGGGAGCACATTGTCATTTTGGAGTGGGTTTGGGTTTTTTTTTTCCAGGCTGCTCTAAGCAGAGCGGAGTTTATTCCTCACCCTCTGTATGGCAGCATAAATCTGGCCAGGGAGGGAAGGAAGGGAATGGCAGCACGAGCTGTCAGCAGCTCCCTGGGATCTGACAGGGTCCAGCAAACGCTCCCCCTATTCTGACCCCGCCTGTCAATCAGCTTTCGGGGAGAAGCCCCTTCCCACCCTCCCCTCGACCCTTTGGCGAGGAGCAGCAGCCAGCTCCAATTTGGAATAGCTGTCATTTATCATTATTTCGGGGAGGAAGGGGCCGGGAAGGCTCTCCTCACCCCGAAGGTGCGGGCAGAGCAGAATTTGAGATGATGGGTGGGGATTTCCACCGGCACAAATGGGAATAAGACTCGGAGCTTTCCAGGCTGCACCAAAAATAGCGGCCCAATTTCAATCTCAATTAGAGCTCGGTAACCCCGGAGTATAATTCAGGAGTCAGCTTCTAATATTTCAATTCAGGATGAAGAATAATATTCCACTTCCCCCTCTGCAGCCCGAGCGATTTTCATTTCATAGGGGCTAATCTTGACTYGAACATGTGTTCCAGTGAGATGTTCAAGGATATGAGTGTGCTAAAGAAAATATGGGAAAAAGTTGTGTAGAAATGGCTGCGTTAAGGTCTGTGGAGGAGTCAGCTCAATAACACAGTTCCTTGGAATTACAGAATCATGGAATGGTTTGGGTTGGAAGGGATGGCAAAGCCCATCTTGTTCCACTGTTCCCAAAYCCTGTCCAACCTGGCCTTGGACACTTCCAGGGATCCAGGGGCAGCCACAGCTTCTCTGGGCCTCACCACCCTCACAGARAAGAATTTCTYCCTAAAATCTCAGCTAAAATTTCCCTTTTTCAGTTTAAAGTCAAATTACACTTTCCATTTATTTTTTTGGATGTCTCTATTACCGCAGAGCTCCTACCAACAGGCTTTATGGAGAAGAAAAAAAAAATGCAAAAACCCTCCCAGATTTATTCTTTATTTTGGAAAACACTCCCTTTCTGAGGCTTCTAGTCAGTATTATCATTCTAATAATAAATTCCTTTAAGAATTAAAATTTTAAAAAGACTGTCTGAAGGATATTTTGAATTTTAGAAGGCAAGTCTCAATCTGATTTCATTCTGATGACAAAGGAAATTAGCTTCAGCATTTAAATGAACATTATAATTTAGTAAATATCATATTTTTCACTTACATGGTTCACCTGTGAGAACTTTTTCAGCATTTAAAAGTAAAGAGTTGTATGAAGGGATTGATCCCTTGGGTGGGAAGAGGGGAGAAAAGCATATATGTTTTTCCAACAGCAAAATACTGATTTTCCAGCCCTTTTTCATTCTGTCACTGGAGATTCTTGGGGTAGAAAAGCTCCTTCAGAGTTTTTGCCCACCCATGGACCTTCCTGCAGCTTTGGATCATCCCTCCAAACAACAAGGCCGGCACATTGGGAAGTGCCCCTTCCCTGAGCCGCCGGCGTTACCCCTTTGCCGTAGGAATTATTTCTTTGTTACTTAATCATCTGTAATTATCTCCTGGAGTAAATTCTGTTGGTGCATCAATTTTCAAACACAACAGTCATTTTTATCAGTCATGTTTATTTAATTTTAGCTGATTAGCACAGAACCTAACAAGTGGCTTAGACTAACAGTGTGTCACTGCCCAAGTATTTTGTAGGTAACAAGAAGACATGGAATAGTGCACATGTTGCTTTGTCTGCATTAATCTATTTACATTGTAATTCTTCAACTGTTTTTAATGGCTGGTTCAGCTGGAAGCAATTAGTTGTCTAAATTAAAGCCACATTTCTCACTTCGTGCACCGGGAAGGCTTTTTGCCATTGTCTTTTTCTTGCTTTTTGTTTTCCAAATCAAGACAGATCCCGTTTGAAAATGCATGAAATCTTACTGAGGGGATTGATGCGGGTGTTTAGAGCCATGTTTGTCTGGAAGCCAAAGACCTGGACAGGGCAGGGAATGGTGTTTTTGGAGGTGCACTCTGGAGCAGGTTGGACAGCACAGCAGCAGCAGCCAGGCCCTGGAACGAGACCTCGGGGCAGCTCYGAGAGCAGGAGTGGAGCGAAGCCAGGAGAAGAGAAAGCACCAGATCCTCTGGGCTGTTCTGCAGGGGCAGGAGCCCGTTTTGTATATTAATTAAATTAACAGACACATTTGCATTAAGCACAACTTAATTKATGCAGCACTTCAGAGCGTCAGTGCGTGTTAGATCCCACCGTCTTTTTTATTTTACAGGTAAAAATGTCACATTTTAAAGCAGATGTGGAACACTTGGAGTCAGGCTGGTGTTGCTCCACCCCATCCCTGCTCATTTTGTTCTATAACTCTATGACATTACAGTCCAGTTTCTCCCATGAGGTTTGGACTTTCTGTGCAAGGTGAGAGTTTTTCCTTAAAACTTTTCCTTAAAAAGTACTGTTTTATACCATTTGTTAAAAAAAAAAATAATAAAATGGTCTTCTCCATGCATTGATTTTGAAATCAATGCATGAAGTCAATGACTTATGAAGGCAAGGAAAGAAAAGCCCCACTGTGGCCTCCACGGACTTTGGAACACCCCATATATTGGTACCCCATGCACCAGCCTGGGAAGGAGGGAACCCCCAGAGAAGACTGATCTGAGTTACCATGTCCCCCCTACGGGGCCATTGGACAGGTTTCAGTTTGGGTGGCGTTGAATTTGATTTGATTGACATTTTCATTTTGGTAAAAAATTAATCAAGTTCACATGCGGCCTAGTCTGTACAGAGTCTTCGCTTAAGTCAATATTCTAATAAATCAGGTTTTGGCCCAGATTTCCTCCTGAGGAAGGTTTAGCTGGTGATCCAGCAAAACAGGGTGAAGAGARGGGAGGCTATTGCTCTGTTTGCTGCACTTTCTCCTCATCTCCAAATCCAAAAGCTCCAACAGAGAGTTCTCTGCCTTCTCCAGTCTGTGC